GAGGGCGATCGACGCTCTGCAGTCTCAACAAGCCTCTGTCGCTACGGTTGTGACACAGGAAATGGCCGGACATCCACCAAAGAAGAGGATAAAAAGAATCTACAAAGAGATGCAGCAGCGGCTTGTAACTCTGTGCATACAGTAGGTGCATGGGCTCCGTCCCTTGAACGACGTTTTTAGGGGTGTGGGTTATGTGAATACAATTTTCTCTTACGCCTCCGCTTCAGCAGCGTCATCTTCTTGTCTCTTAAGTGGTCTATGCAATAAATACGCTCCTACTTGTGAAATAAATTTTTGATTTCTTTAATATACATTGTTCCAACAGAGCTATGTTGTTTCTGAAAAATAGATCGCGGTGGTACGACAGGTTCATTTTTAGAAAACCACGTCAAGAACCTGTAGTACTTGTATGATAATGATTTTCCTTCCGGATATCGTTTTGAAGCTCGATAGCGCTAATTTGAAAACAGGCTCTGACGATAGAATTATTTTGATTACACACGTGTAATGTATCGGTAGGAATCAAGAACCTTTGAGAAACGGAGCTACATGGTATAAATAAAAGGGGTTCAAACTTTGTTCAAATCATTATATTGAAAATGTTGATATTATCCTCGAACATTTGTCGAAATAAATTTCAAAGTACCAAACCATTTTGTCCTATTATGAGCGCTCAAAAGTCTCGATTAATTCACATTGGACCATTTTGTCCGGGTTGGCGCTTGGGACCATTATGTCCCGGACCATTTTGTACGGGACCATTTTGACTGGGACGATTCTCACCGGGACCATCTTGTCCCACTCGCTTAGTAGATCGTGTAGTCACTCCCGCAACTCCATACGCAATCCGCTATGGCCTCCGCTATACAGTTTTTTTTTAATTCACAGATTTGTTTAAAAAACGCGGTGAAGTTATACTAAAGCGGTTTCTGCAGTTGAGTTATACGGCTGGGGGCACAAAGTATAGGGGGCTAATCGTAACCATCCGTCAACTAATTGATTAAAAATCGTTAATTAGGTTTTTCAATAATAAAAATAGACATATCGTTCCAATTAGAAACTTGCTCAGCTTCATCATAAAACCACTAAATCAACTATTTTTAGGAGGATATAACGCGGGGGTAGCATTTTACGGCGTTCTAAAAGGCGCTCAGTTTTGACGTGTTTCTAGGCTTCGCTTTCTTATCGGAGCGCATCTTCGCTCCCGCGCTCCTGCCCCCCGGTGGTCGCGGCGCGAAGCCACCCCCTCGACTCCCTCGTAGCATGGAGGAAAGTTAGGCGCACGTGTGTTGCGCGTCTCAGCCACTGGGGAGCAGGACCGCGGGCGCAGAGATGCGCTCTGATAAGAAATCGAAACCTAGAAACGCGTTCAAATTCAGTGTTTTTACGGAACGTCGTAATATGCTGCCCCTGCGCTATATCTGTCTAAAAAGAGTTGATTTAATGGTTTTTGATGACGCTGAGCAAGTTTATATTTGGAACCATATATCTATTTGTAATAATATAAAAGTTGATTAACGAATTATAAATTATTCGCCGACTGATCGTTACGAGTAACCCCCTATACTATGTCCCCCTGGCGGTATAACTCACCTCTACAATCGGCATCCGTGTAACTTTCACGGCTTCTTTTTAAACAAATCAGTTAAGTAAAAAAAAAACTATATACTGTAGGGGAACTACGTTTTTATGTTTTAGTAGAATGTTTGCAACCCGGTCTAGAATATAGCGCTGCGAGAGCTTACCCAACGCGACACTTTCAAGCTAAATTTAAAGGTTTGCATAGCAGTTGTTATTGATCTTCTACTCATGCCGCTCTATAGATAAAATTTAAATTTATTATCCAGTGCTTATGTTCATCTTTGCTTCTTTTATAAGCAGAGCTGCAAGGGGGAAACAGTAGCAGAAGTGACCGGCGACCGGAGCGGCAAAACTGCGACAAGCGGCGCTGTTGTTCCTGAGCTCGCCGATACCGAGAGTGTCAGTCACGTTGAATGTTTCAACGCGGGGCAGAAAGCAGCCCATCCTAAGCCCGCATTTTAACAGCTATCTTATCCCTCAATTTTCTGGCGACCACCACCGCGTTGAAACATGCAACGTGACCGGCACTCTCGGTATCGGCGAGCTCAAGAACAATAGCGCCGCGCGTCTCGATTTTGCCGCTCCGGTCATCGGCCACGTGTGCTACTTTTTTTCCGTTGCAGCAGTATGTCCAGTACGTTTGCGACGAGTAGACTTGAGATCCACGTTGTTCACGTCGGGTTGGCTTGGTCACGCACTACAGCCGCGCTCGTTTCGCGACGCAAGAGGTACTGCGCGATAAAAGAGCAACTCGGCCGCCAAAAAAATGCCAGTTTTTTTTTTTTTGGGGGGGGGGAGGAGGGATCGCACTATTTGATATGTGGCAGGAGATGCAGCGCAGCACACGTTAAAAAAGCAGCGGTGAACCGTCGGCTGTAGTGAATCATCGGTTCCTTGAAGCCCTCGGATCCGCCCTCCCTCCCCCACTTCGCCCCGCAACCAGAATGGAATGTAAAAGAGCTTGTTGTTGGGCTAGTTGGTGTTGACTGTATTGAACCATGGTTAAAAGCGCTAAAAAGACGTACGCAAGATAGAAGCGCCCGTGTTTGTCTTCCATCTTGCGTACGTCTTTTTAGCGCTTTTAACCATGGTTCAATCCAGAATGGAATGTCTGTACGACTCTTTCTTCAAAGTGGACTCTCCCGGAATGAACAGTTGACCTTGTTTTCCAGATTGGCTCCTTGGTTCCTTCGCTGAATCGTCATTTCGGTGTCATTTCTTGCGGGGGGCCATGTTTCTTGATAAACGCGTGTTCCCGCAAGCCGGTAGGAGTCTCGATGTTGACGGACGAAAACGTGTGCCGGAAGCAGTCGCTCGTCGCCAGTCAGTGCTCTCTTTTCCCCGACTGGATATGCTGTTCTGCTTTACTCAGAACTTAAATAAACGCCGCACGGATTATCTTTCGTTTCATAGTACGTGCTCTTTAATTTAAGAGTATAGGTTGCTCGCGGAGGTGACGGAGGCAGGAACCTAAAGAAAGGGTCGACCCGAAGAAAGCCGCGATCTTAACAGCTAAGTAAACACGCAAAAAAAAAAAAAAAAAACAAGATTACGACGATGCATTTTCCGTGCGCCTTACTTGTCATTAAAGTTAAAGCAAGTAAGCAGGCGAGCTGGTTAAGAATAGATATATTTTGGTGTCTGTCCGTCCTTTTTTTGTTCCCTCGCTTGAGGATTACAATGTCTGCTTGTCATGCAGCAAGCAACGCGAAGAAAGTGGTCGTACCTGCCCTGCCAGTGATAAATCGCCACCTGTACTTATCGCAGCAGCAAGGTTTCATCCAACATAAAATCCGCGATCTCGAAGCGAAGTGGGCACATACGGCGTGATTCTCGCTAGACACACGCCACGTAATAATTTTCTATAGGCGTGTAAAGAAAATTGATTAATTCCTAGTCTTTAGATTAAGGGCCATAAAATTTTGTATAGACGGCTAAAAATAATTTATTGGTTCCCAGCCTTTCGACCCGGGGCCATAGAACTTTCTATAGGCGGGTAAAGAACATTTATTGGGGCCCAGTTTTTAGACTCGGGGCCATAGCATTTTCTACAGGGGGTAAAGAAACTTTAATGGTTCACAGTTCACGGGGCCATAGAACTTTCTTAAGGCGGGTAAAGAAACATTAACCATTCCCAGTCTTTAGACACAGGGTGATAGGTTTTTCTATAGTTGGCTGTAGCTGCATTTATGAATTTCTATGGCCGACCATAGAGGGCCATAGGGGGAGATAGCTGCCATAACATTTTTCATAGACGACCATAGACCATGTTTGTATGGGTTCCTTTGACCAAACAACCGAAGTGAAGAAATTGTTTTAGGATTCCGCTCGTAGACGCTCGTAGACCCTCGTAGACATTCTTCTAGTGATATAAACGTGCTGCGCAGGAGCGTACGCAAAAGTCTATAATCCGTACAATATTAATTTTCAACCATATGTATGTGGAAAAAGAAATGTTCGTTTTGCGATGTTTTCTGTTCCACGCTAGACCCTCTTCCAAAGTTGGCGACAACGCCTGTCTGCCATTGCTTGCTGACATACTCTGAGCATAGATTGGACACGAGGGTGACGTCAGAGTTCGGCGTCAACTCGGGTCCAATCGCGCGCATCGTGTCCAAGCAATGGAGACCGCCAATGCTGCCTCGTGGAATCTTAAAAATGATCTACAGGGTGTTTCACAAAAAATGGACAAATTTGATATAGCGAAAACTACACGTCGCAAAAAAAAGGTTGTGTCGTTTTGGTCCTGGCCCAGAAGCCTATTTAAGAAAACTATTAAAGTCTAGAATAAACAGATTCTTAATTATCTTTGCGTAATAACTTTTTAATATTGTGATTAAGGACATGGTTTTGATTAAGAAAACTGCTCCATATCATTGAAAAACACTAAATCAACAAATTGCAGAACGATAGAAGGCACGCGAAGCATTTTACGGCTTTCTGAAAAACCGCACAAATTCGACGGGCCTCACGCAGAGCATTAAAGGCAGGTTGCACAATCTCTCCATGGGGCGCGATGCTGTCAGAGTCGAGATGCGGTCCGATTGCAAACCGAAACTTAAGAACCTGTCGAATTGGTGCGGTTTTTCAGAGAGCCCCAAAATGCTTCGCTTCCCTCTATCGTTCTGCGATTTGTTGATTTAGTGTTTTTTGATGATGCTGAGCAATTTTTTAATTGAAATCGTGTCCTTAAACACAATATTAAAAAAATAAATTGCGCAAAACCAATTAACACCCTAATTATCCCGGACTTTAATACTTTTCCTAAGTAAGCCCCTGCCCCAGAAACAAAACGACAGAAGCCTTTTTTTTTTTTTTTTTTTTGCAAGGCGTAGTTTTCGCAGTATCCAATTTGCCCAATTTTCGTGAAACACCCTGTATATTGCACGGAGCATTCAGGAAAGGCGCCACCTCTTTACCTTGTCCGCGCAGGAGGCCGCCTTGCGTTTTCCACCTTCTCCCGGAATGGACGGGGTCCGAGCACCGCCTCCAGGAGGATGACGAAAACCCCGCACGTGCAACTCTTCGTCGTGAGGCTCGGCATTCTTCACGTGGTATCGGCCATTGGTGTAATATGTTTTCAAGGTTGCACCGCACTCGAGAAGGTCGCATCGAAAAGTGGCCACATTGCAACCATATGTGGAACGCGAGAACCCATATCCTTCATGCGTCGTCTTGACGACGCCATTACTCATTTTTATGATGTTCACCGTTGGATTGGTTAGGGACCGCGAAGTGGCCGCGGAACACTTATCCATGTTGCCGCCAGTCGAGTTGGTGTGCACAGCAGGCTCGATGGACGCCGTCGAAGTGGACGCAGAGGACGCCATTGCAGTGTCGTCAACCAGATTGCTCCGGATGCGCGCTCCGAGTTCCACGTGATCTAGTGGTCACACCCGGATATGCGTCCTGTAAAAACAACGCTGTGAGATTCACTGGAAAAGCTAGAAAACCAGAGCTGCGAAAAGATAAGCGAGGATTTAGTATAGTACACTGTTAGCAAGTGCCGTGTATTTGGTGAATATTTGGGGTGAAAAACACGCTATTTACACAAATTACCATAAATTTACACGATGAGTAACGGATAATACGTTCAGATATCATGCGAGGTTGTAAAAAACGTGTTTTGGTTCGATCATACACGCATAACCGTGTAGCCGACCTCGATAACACGCATCGCCTCCGGCGACGACCGCGGCATTGCCGGCTATCGAAGCACCGGAATGCTTGGGGACACACTTAGAAAGGACCGTCGAGACAAATGCCGCGGAAAGAAACATGTCTCGGAAACAGATATGCACCAAAAGCAATTACGCCATGTCGCGGGACGTTGGCGAAACCCGCGCTTACCGTGGCTCGCCGCCATTTTCTGGTCGATGGCAATGCGGCTTCCCTCATGTCGCCCATGTTTGCATTTAGTTTAGGGCTCTTGATAATAGTTTCTTACACACCACAAATAAAGTCATGGGTCCAATTATTCGTTCAAAACAGTTAAAATGGATATAAAAAGCGTGTCTTCGATGTGAACACGTGACATTGCAGTTGGTTTCGTTTTTGCTTCAACCTTCAACTGCTTCAACTGCAAGCGATCTGGCCGATCTAACGTCGATGTACGGTGGAAGCAAGAGCCGGTTGGCTTTCGTTCTTTTTGTTTGACCGGAGAAATTTCTGGCAGCCGCTGTTGTTTTGGTTTGACGGGACGCGAGAAGCTTCGCATAGAGCTTCGCAGTTTGCGAGCACATAGTGAAGACGTGACCGGAGAAGTGCCCCTGTGTCGTTCCCGGAAGACGGAAAGTACCATTCGTCGTGTGTGCTTTGAAAGCGAGGGGAGTCACAGGGTCCACGAGTGCGCAACCACAAGCCAAGGTTCACGACAGCGCTGCGTTCTTCGGCGATCTCGTTCTGTTTGGGGCAACACGGCGATGCGAGAAAGGGCCGAAACGTTCGTGGTGTGTGGTGCGGTGCTTGTAGGTAGAAACCCGCACTAACGCGGAGCTCATATTGGTTGTTGTGGGGTTACGTTTGATGGGTTTAGCCCCGTCGTCGTCAGCTGATCCGGTCCAGCTGGTCGGGGAGCACGCAGCGAGCGTTCTTAAAAGTAAATCTTCCTTCGTTTCTTTTCAAAATGTGGAAGATTCCCGACGCATACCGTGAGTAAAATGCTGCGGACGTTTTCAACAAAATTACGTCGTTTGAATTGAACAAGGGACTTCGGATTGTTTCCCTAAATCTGCCGTTTCTATGCTTCGTGTCGTTAGACTGCATTTGCACAGCGACGTGTTCGCACAGCGACGCACACCGCTCGAGTAGATGATTCGGTCCCGCAAACGACCGGTTATACAGAATTTCAGGGAAACTTAAGTCACCACCGATGTTTTCCTGTAAACCTCGTGTGACTCGTGTGAGTTTGTTGCGCTCATCATGCGGTGTGAATAAACTAGGGCAAGATTTTCTACCTGCCCACAGATGCATGAACTGAGACCAATTTTTTACGTAGAGAACATAGTGGTTTTTCTTTACATTGGGAAGAGGCCCGAATGTGTCTCTTTTCCCTCTGGCACTGCGCCAAGTTTCAAGTTGCAGTTTCAGTAGACATACCTACTAACAGGTACCAACTGCTCTAAAGCAGGTAAAAGACTGGGAAGCCAGGACGGTGCGGACACCGTGTTTTGCGCTTCTCGCAAGGTGACTGATGCTTTTGCGAGGTATGCGGAATATGCAAACGATTTTGTTATGCCCTTCGTTTCCGTCTCCAGAAAAAAGAATAAGATTATTTACAAATTTAGGCGCAATCACAAGCCAAGATTTACGATAACAGTGCGTTCGCTTCGGTGGTCCGTGTAGTGGTATTATACGCTGCTTTCTGCAACACCGCGTCATGACGAAGAGCTGGAACGGTCACGGTCTGTGCTGGGCTAGCGGTTGACAGAAACCCGCATCGCCCGCATCGGCACCGAGTGCACTTGGGCTGTTGATGCTCGAGCCTTTCATACGCGGCTTGTCGCCAGCTGATCCTGCTGCTCGACGGTGAGGAAGCGGCGAGTGTGACCTCTGAAGTAAATGTAAATCCTCGTTCATCCAGTTATCCAGTGTCAAAGTGTGGAAGATGTCCAACGTGTACTGAGGGCGGGAACTACGAGCGTTTTGCCTTGCTTTTATGACCGAAACCAGAGCAGCGAGATAATTGCCTTGCGTACTCCAAAATGACGCAAGCAATAAGTTTCAACAGGTCGAGTACGTCACCGCGGATGTAGGCGAGACTGTGCACTGTTTAAACGCTTGCAGTATCCACGAGTGCTACCAGAAAAACGACGTCAACAGAGAAGGAGCTCGCGATTTTAGCATAATGCAGTGCCACGGGCTCGGGAATTTTCAATGTGGCTATATAGAAATAAAAAAAAAAAAAAACGCATCAGCGCCACATTAATGATCACGAATAACACCGGTCACAAACTCCCAAGCCTCACCGCTTCGCTCGACACTAACACGACATACGACAACAATCTGCATCAAAACGCCCCAAGGCGTCTGCTCCCGTACGCGTACTACAACTAGCGGAAGTGAAGTGTTGGGCGGATGTACTTCACAATAATATATATAAAAAATGCCTTGCGCAAGTATAATTTCCATTGATTATTGAATACGTACTGATAAAATCCCAATCATTTGTTTTTCTATCTGATTCAAGCGAGTCGGACTGCTCATAACACTGGTCGAGCATGAAAATAACAAAAATTTGAACTTTTTCATGGCCGGTTTAAGATTTATTGTTAGTACATCGTTGTTTTTCGCAAAGGACTAATTTTACAGATTTTGCCTCCATACTTTTTAAATGCAAACAGTTCTTACATACGGCTGTCCATTTTGCCGTGTTTTGTGTCTTCTTCTATAAATCGGTAACGGTCAGCGACCAAAGAGCTCACCCGTACATGTCAAGTATATATACGCCGCGGGGAAAGTCCGTTGTTAGTAGGAAGTGTCGGGCCCCAGGCAGCACCGAGTTCTGGGCCAAAACTTGGCTTGCGTCTGGCAGTTTAGGGCATTAAAAAGCCCGAAGAAGCCAAGGTAGTGCCAAACCTGACCTCCCTTGGCAACAGTCTGGGTATCTTGGCCCTAATTCGCCAAACAAGTGCCAAACTTAGGCTTCGCTGCCGGGTAGTTCGGCTGTCGTCTGGCATCTTCGGGCCTAAATCGCCTAAAAAATGCCAGATTTAGGCTTACTGCCCGGTAGTTCGGCAGATCTTTGGCATTTTTGGGCCAAAATCGCCAAACTAATGCCAAAGTTAGGCTTCACTTTTTGATAGTTCGGCTATCACCTGGCACATTCGGGCCAAAATCGCCACAGATGTGCCAGAGTTAGGCTTACTACCTTGTAGTTCGGCAGAGCTTTGGCATTTTTGGACCAAAATCGCCGAACTAATGCCAAAGTTAGGCTTCACTTTTTGACAGTTCGGCTGTCACCTGGCACATTCGGGCCAAAATCGCCAGAGATGTGCCAGAGTTAGGCTTACTACCTTGTAGTTCGGCAGAGCTTTGGCATTTTCGGGCCAAAATCGCCAAACCTATGCCAAAGTTAGGCTTCACTTTTTGACAGTTCGGCTGTCACCTGGCACATTCGGGCCAAAATCGCCACAAATGTGCCAGAGTTAGGCTTACTACCTTGTAGTTCGGTTGAGATCTGGCATCTTTGGGCCCAAGTCGCCAAACGAGAGCCCAAGTTAGGCTTCGCTTCCCGATAGTTTGGCTGTGATCTGGCAGCTGCGGGCCAAAGTTGCCAAACAAGTGCCAGAACTAGGCTTACTGCCTTGGAGTTCGGCTGATGAAATATTTTATGTACGCGGGTGGTCTTCATCTTAATTAAATAGAAATCAAGTTTTATTCGGCTGGCAACTTTATCCTATTTTGGGTGTCTCTTGATTTCTGCAGTCCAAAGGTTGGCTGAATGTTTTGACGCGGCTGGAGCAGGCTTTGCAAACGCAAATAAATTGTGCCAGAGGTTGCACTCGCGCGTAGGTACACAAGCCAATATCGGGGCGCGTCGTGAGACTGGTTCGACATTATGGCGCGTTCACACCGGCGATGCGATCTAGTCGCGCCATAACTTTCATCGCAAAAGCGACCATCGCGGGCAAAAAGTGACGGGTTTTGAGCAGTCGCTTGCTGACCCGACTTTTTACAATGCACTCTAGTCGCGGAAAGGCCGAGCCAACCAACGGCGTTCGGAGCGAGAGTTTTTGAGAAGCGACTCGCCAACGAAGGCGTTGGACTCGCTCATCGCGCACGCCAAATTGACCAACCAATTACTTTTATTTATTTTCTTTTTTTTTTTTGCGATGCGATATAGTTGGATCGCGCGACTGCTTACATCCCCGGTGTGAATCCGCCTTTACAGAAAGTGCTGCCATTGAGCTAACACTGCGCAAGACGGATGTACGCACGTTTCCACAAGAGGTATCATTATTAGGCGGCGCATTCCAAAAGCGAGCGTGTCTCTGTGCGTGTCTTGCATTGTGATTGAGCGCTGTCAAATCCTAGCGATAACAAAGAGCGGAAACGACCGGGGCTCCGTGGCGCGGCTCCCGCATCACACTTGGGGAATGAAAATGAAATCCCGGAAATTGTACTAGTTTAGCGTGTTGATACCTTTTCAACATTAAAAAGTGGAGACACAAAAGGGACGATACAGACAGGACAATCTGAACTTTAAAGGCCGCTGTACAAACGGGACGTTCTACAGAGAAGAACCTTCTCTTCCGAAGCTAGGGGACGGGGAGGGAAAGGGCCATTGTTGGGTGGAAAGAGCGTCTAGAGAATGGGATTAGCCTCGGGGCGAGCCATCCTCTCGAGAGGGAGTGG